CATGCACACCCCACACCCCATCTTCACACACACCCCAACACCCCCACTCACACCCAACACCCACGCACCCACCCCACACCCCCACACCTCTCACATGCCCACCCGTCCCCCGCGCACCCCCAACCCAACACCCCCTCAACACCGCCCCACATACCGTGCACCCAAATACCACCTGCACCCCAACACTCCCACACTCCCTGCACCCCAACACCCTCTGGATACCCTCCCAGACTTCCAACCCAATATTCTCCCACACCCCCAACACCCCCATGCACATCCCCCACCGCTACCACCCGCCTCACACTCCCCAATCCAACACCCCCCACACCCCCAACCCAACACTGCCCTGCACACAGTCCAGCATTCACCCCCCGCCCCCCCGCAGGCCACAGTCATCAGCACTCAGAGAACGGACCCAGCCCCCACAACTGGCCTCAGCGCCCAGACAGGAAACCGATCCCCAGATAACACCCCGCCGGTGCCCCTCACTCCCGACCCGCAGCCCGCTGTTAGCCCAGCCCTGCCGTGCCCCCTCCAGCCCAGTGCCCCTCACTTCCGACCTGTAGCCCCCTGTTAACCCAGGCCTGCCCCCCACAGCTCTGCCAGTGCCCCTCACTCCCGACCCGCAGCCCCTGCTAGCCCAGCCCTGCCCCCCTCCAAACTCTGCTGGCTTGTCCCCACCCAGGGAGCGGCAGGACACAGGGACACAAACATGTTGCCAGCCAGACGCCCGCAGACGCTTTCCTGCTGAGCCAGCAGTGACTCAGCGACTCGGGGCCCCCCAGAGCGCAGCTGGGGCCGGCTGCAGGTACCAGCTAGAGTAGTGGTGGCAGCACTGGGAGTAGCAGGGTACTCACGCAGACACACGCCCGCCAGGAGGCGGAGCCCGCCCTCAGGCGCCAGGCAGGTGGGGAAGAGCGGGTGCAGCACGTAGTTGGCGAACGTGAGGGCGATGACGGCCTGGTTGGTGGGGTAGATCACCAGCACCGCGATCCACAACCGCAGGAACCTGGGGGGCACGGCAGGGCGTGAGAGGGGGTCTGGCCCCCGCTACCCCCCAGCCGGCCCCCGGGGGCCCCGCCTCCTTACCCAGCCAGCCCCCCGAAGATGTCCTTGACGTAGGAGTAGTCGCCGCCAGACTTGGGGATGGTGACGCCCAGCTCCGCGTAGCACAGCGCCCCCACGGCCGTGATCAGCCCCGTGATGATCCACACGAGCAGCGCCAGCCCCACGGAGCCCGCGTTCTCCAGCACGCCCTTCGGCGACACGAAGATCCCCGACCCGATGATGTTACCTGGGGGGGAGAGACGGGGACGGGGTTAGAGACAGGGCTGCCCCGCCACTGCCTGAGTCTGCCAAGAGCCTGGGCCAGTCGCTCGGAGAGCTGTGAACTGCCCCGCC